TGACAATATCAAATTTTTGTATAATAAGAACGGTCTTCCCTTGATACTAATATATTATCCCAAAATTAAACTCTATAATTCAGTTTTATTTGTCTTAATTGTCATTTATATTCTAAGTTTTTAGCACTCATATGTCATAAATAAATTCTTAGTAAAGCCTTACTAAAAATTCACGTTGTTTGCTTTTCGTGATGCTTCTAAAATCTTGAAGCTTTAAATTGTTTCAGTTAACACATTTTTTGTCAGTATGTTCTACTTAAAACGAAAATAGGTGGCTTAAAATCTCTTCTAATAATATGATTCAATTCATTTATAACAAAAAATTGATCTATATGATTTACAAAATATTTTTCATATTTATCAAAAAAATAAGTAAATAAAAAGTAAAATAGGGAAAAAAAAGTCAGTAATATTACAAAAGAAAGAATTTTATAGTAAAGTATGTATTGCTAGAAATATCAAAATTTTTGTTGATAAAGCAAGTAAAGAAAATATTAACTTAATAGAGAGTGAGAAATTTTCTTATAATCTAGCAACAATACTTACAAGAAACAAAGTAGTAACAGTAAACTTGAAAATTTTACACAGTAAGTGTAAAGTTTATATCACTAAGAATAGTGTTTAGTCTAAAATGATCATAAATATATTGACAAAATCAAAGAATATGTGAAAGTTTTATTCAAAGATGCTCTTATGTTATTTGAACAGGCATTTAAAAGAAATGATATGAAAACTTTATGGACTTATTTATTAAAGTACTGCTTTATTAAGCTTAGATATAGATTGGACAAAATTAAAAATAATATAATCTATGATAAAGACAAACCACATATTAAATCTTTCTTAGAATTTACTAAAATTAATGCTGATGATATAGATACAGTGAAAAAAGTGTTATGTTTAAGATTTGTTGCAAATATTATAAAAAAGCTAAAGATTCTGAAATTCTGAAAAAAATTTTAAGAAATATCAAAAATATAGAATCCTATGTTAGATCTTTGATAGATATCACAGATTATATATATATAGAGAAAAGTACAGAATCTCATTTTCTCATATAGATTTATATTTATAAGATCCTATTATGACTGATCAACCTATATCTTCATGGAATAAAATTATCAAAGATTTTATTCCTAAATATGAAGATTTTACAAAAGAATGCTTGAAAGATTATATAATAAGAGATAGACTAACAGTGTATATGATAGCAAACTAGACTGTGATAAACTTAATCCCATATTTTTACATGCAGAATTAAACATATTGATCAACATAATAGACTAGGATAAGAAAAGTCAGTTATTTATAGTAGTATCTAAGAGATGTTGTTACCTATGTAAGTTGTATATCAAATTTATTCAATCTAAAGAATACGATATTGCCATTTTTAAAATATATAAAAAATTATATCATAAATAGAAACTTTCAGATGTCTTCAAGAAAGAATTTGTATCAGAAACTTTATTTGATCTTAATCAGATTATAAAGAGTAGAATAGAACGTTTTATTAGTATAATTGGTAGATCTGATAGTGATGGTGAAAGTATAAAATCTAATAATCAAAATTATAATGTTATTACTTCATTTATTTGATAATTTCAATAATTCAAATTAGTATATAAAATTTAAATCAAAAGTTATATATATAAGTTGTACTAAAAATAGAGATTAATATATGTATTACATAGTATTTTCATTTTTATTAATAATTTATCCATTTTTATATATAATTTATCTATTTTTAGTAATATTTTATGTTGTGTAATATGTGCACACAAAAATTTAATGTGTACATGTACATATTGTATATGTGAATTTTACACACTGATTTAGATGTTGATTTTAACTATTAACAATTTTTAAAGTAAAAGGATTATTTTTATCAATAACATAAAAATTAGCATATATTATAAATTAAAATTATTTAAAATGAAATCTTTATTATAAAATTATATATACATGTTTAAAAAATAAAAGTAATGTTATTCATTATATTTTTTATAAAGTAATATATGAGAAATGATTGGCAAGCCAAGTAAGATGTAAAATAAAAGAGAAGCAGAGTTTTAAGTGAGAAAATTTGCTAAGCCCTAATTTATATGATGGCAGTTCCTTTTCTATTACTCTGAATTATTATCTAAGTTATTATTTAAGTATTAGTTATTTATCGTAAAATCAGAGCTATTATCAGGCCTTACAGCATAGTCATGATCCTGATGATATTGGTAATTAAGCGATAAATAATTATTATATTTTCTGATTACTAATGCTTATAATAAGAAAAATCACATAAATTATATAAGTTACATATTATGTGACATAAAAGTACTGGTTTTTGAGACAACTTTTTGAATATTTCATATATTAATCATATGTTATTATAATTTTTAATTATTTAGCTTCAAATATTTGAGCAGAGTCATATATGCATAGGCGAACTGTGCTAACTATTATATTTCCTAATTTAAGTTTTATATAATATAATATAAAAGTATTACAATAAAATTTTAAATAACACAAAAGTTAGCTTTGAGACAACTTTTTGAATATTTCATATATTATTATAATTATATTAATTTGGTAAAATATTGCTTCTAGTATAACTTACCCAATAATAATTATATTTCGATAAAATTTAATGTTATTTTATTATATTAAAATGCAACTACTTGTAAAAATTTTAACATATATTATTATGTAGGATTTCTGATCAGAGCATTTTTATATGTGATAAAAATAAATAAATAATCAGCAAATTGATTGGTAAAATGTGATAAAATTAAGCATGTCCTCTATACTTAGATATATTGATTTAAATAATAATAAAAAATAAAAGTTTGTTATATCAAATTTTACAATAAATGCAATATAATTATTATTTGTTTATTATTTATTATTTGTATATTGTATGTTGTACTATTTCTTATTTGTAAATTTAAGAACAAAAAAAATCTAATCAAAACTAATAAACTCATTTATATATAATTGGATTAAAGATTCTGATTATTTATTTTTTTGAGACAAAGTTCTTGCTTTTGTTTCATAGACAATGTATTACTTTTATAATGATGATGATCGATTATTAAATCAAAAAAAAAATTATTTTTTTTATAATGACTATGAGAAAAAAATTATTAACAGTTTATCATGAATAAATAATTATATCCAGTTTACAATCAGAGTTCAGTATATACAATATTGTGAAATTTATAATAAATCACTATATACAGTTAACTCTTAATATAACGAATTCTTAATATAACGAATTTTTGAACAAATATAATAAAAATACTTTTGTTATAGCAAATTGCCAATCAAATCTCTTAAAATCTTCACTATAGCCTTATATTAAATTTGAGATCTAGGACATAAAGTTCGTTATAATAAGAGTTGATTATAAGGATAAATTTTATTATAAGTGATTTTGGTTTAAGAATAAAGTTCATTATAAGCCAAAATCAATTTATCTCAAATTGCTATATCAAGTGATCAATTATACAGAAAGACTATTATTAATAAGTTCCATTGATCAGCATGAAGAGTATGTAATTTATGCAACCTAAGAGTTTTCTAACTTCAGAAAGAAAGAAAAGGATTAGAAAGATAATCAAACTTTTTGAATTAAAACTTTTAATTCAATGACTTTTAATTTATCTGTAAAAAATATTGATCAAACTTTATTATATAGCTGTGATAAACAACTGCATCTATAAATGATACCTTAATAATAAAGGTTTTGAGTTTTATTTTTTAATCACTGTATGTGTTATTGCAATACAAAATACAAATCACTGCTTATATAATTATTCTTTACATAGATTTATAATTTTGATACTTATATTTTAAAGAAAACGTAAACCAATTAACAAACTTTATATTAAATAGCTCAAAAAATAGATATGCTTCTTACTGTGAGATAACCTTTAATATTATCATCATTCCAGTTTTCTTAATAAGCAAACATCATACTTCAGATATGATTGATTAGGGGTTTGTTGCTATTAGAAAGAAAATTTGTTTATAGAATTAATCCTAATTGATCAAAGATATTGTCATTTTTTAGAAAAATATAGGATCTACTAATTTGCTTATATTGCGGGATATTATCTAAAATATTATATCCCACTAAAATACAATCAATATTAACTGGAGTATTACTATACCACGAATATATTTTATCTATTTTTACCCATTTTGACCAGTTAATTCCATCCTCTAGACATATAAACCAGAGTCTCGAGGCTTTATAAACCTTTACATAACTACCATAATCAGAAATTTGGGTATGATAAGCCTTCCAACCCTCACAGAAATTATGTAAGTTATTTCTTAAAAAAATGGTATAATGGTCATTATAGAATCAGTATTAATAACTATTTTATTTTAGCATTTACCAAATTCTGAAGACAGATATAAACTTAATATAGTAAAAGTAATACCATAGTGAATTATTAGGACATTGACAGATATCTCACTATGAAACAGTAGCAAATATCTGTCAATGCTTTAATTATGCATAAATTATTCGTATTTATCTGCTATTCCTTCCTTACAGTATCATCAATGGTAGAAATTTCACGCAATTGAATGGGTGGCTCTTTGACGATAGGCACATAAAATATTTTAAGATTTCTCTTTCAAGTTGTTCGTAGTTTTCAGATAATAATTCTTTTCTATAACATACTATTTGTCTATTAATAAGTAATGTATATGTTCCTTTTGATGTATTAAGAATTCCAGATTCGAAAAGTTTATAATAAGCGATTGTATTAATTATAAACTCTTTCTAACTGAAACTCAAATTAGAGAAATAATGTAATTGAAGACCAATCGACATTTCAGAAAATCCATTATAGGAGGCCAAGAAAAATCAGATTGTACAAAGTCTAAAAAGAGATAAACAGAGAATATAAGGATATATTAAAAAATGCTTCATCAAGCTAAAACAGATTTGTCATTTACCATAGAATTTCTTAAGATCCTTTTTGTTCTTTCCATCAAGACCCAGCCTTTAGGAAACTTTTAAGATCTGAGCCTTTGAAAGTATCTGGTTGTTTAAGAACATCTTTTGGTATGTCTCTGAGGTTCAGTTTTTCAACAAACTCCCTTTTGAGAACAGACTTTTCAACTGTAATATGAGAGATTCAGTTCAAATCTTGTTAGAAAAAATAAAAAACAATATGCAGAAAATTACAAACCATAAAAGATTTCAGTATTTGTGACTTGATTTTTCATTTTTTTTTTATGCAACAAATTGATTTTTAAAAAGTTAGGCATTATTGATTTACAAATAGATAATTTATATAACAAGTTTTTGTATTTTTGAGAAAGAGGCATTATCTATTTATATTAAATAGCTATATATAGTAAGGTCAAGATTAGAGATACAAACTTATGCTTATAACATATGACTTAATTATTTATAACATATGATAAATTTTTTTTACTTCACAAATACGTCAATTAAGTTTGTATCTCTAGTCAAGATATAATAACTTATTTTTGACTATAGCGTATAGTATTTGACTAGTTGATTTAATCAACTGACTGTAATATACTACGTCAATTTCAGTTATTGCTCAAAGATATTTTTCAATAAATAATTAGCTATTTATTGTTTATAAAAAATAATTTATTTTTTAATTTTTTATACATGTTTAAAAGATCTATCTTATTTTTTAGAAATAAGAAAACTTTTCCTGATCATAGCAAAGAAACTCCTACAATATTACATATACAAGTTATTCTAGAAAAATGACTACAGTCAAAGCTCTTTATAATAAATCTTGATTTCTGAAGGTTACAATTCGTTATAATGAAAAATTTAGTAATATCTTTACCGAATTTTAAAATTTTATTCGTTATATAATGATACTGAATATTATATCTAAATTAGATATATAATCATAATAAAAAAATAGAAGTCAAATTTTAATTGGTTACTATATAAACTTTGTATAATGTTATTAGTAATGAAAAAAATTAATTCACTTTGCTACAAACAAATTTTCTATTCATTATTATCAAATGCTTTAATACAATTTTACAAAAATAACTTTCAGTATTGCGTCTATATTTATTAATAAATTATATATTTGGTACGTAATTTTTATTTTTTATGTTTTTTAAGTTTATATATTGTACTTACCTTAAAACTTTTGATAATTCCAGCATCACATGATTGAAGATGAGCAGTTGTATTAGAAGGTAATTTGTGAAGATGAATATTAGAAAGTGTAGTGTTTTCTTGTAAAATATGAGTGGATGCGCCATTATAAAGTAAGATTATATGCCAATAAAGTCTTAGACGTATGTCAAAGAGTTTTAGCTAATTATTCCAGATACTAACTTGCATATAAGCTGTTTTATTCTAATAATACTGCACTGGTAATAATGATTTTAGAATATTTTTTAAAGCATGAGGATTTTGATTTTTTCTAATGAAAATTACCTTTATTTTTTCAGTTCCTGAAGCATTACAGCATAGTGCAACAGTAACCCACTCTTTAGATTGTTTTTTACCTGCAACTAATAAGATATGCATAATAAGTATTAATTTTGTATAATTATTTATATTGATTTATAATTAATCTAATTAATTAATTTTACCTGGTCCAGTTGATAGAGTACAATTTGGCTTTATTTTCCAATAAAGTCCAGTTTCATTTATATTAAATATATCATTAGGTGAATATTTTGCAAGAATATTTTGAAGATCTTTACGCATATCATCCAGATCTTCTAAACGAGCACTTGCTGTTTCTCTATGCCTTATATAACATTTAAGATTATACCATTTTTTAAAACCTGCCATCCATCCATTTGACCCTTTAAAGTCTTGTATATCAAGTAATGTTGTAAAATCATGTATTTTTTATGCCAATAATTCGCTATTAATAGTAATGTTATTATTATTGCTTTTTCAACCTAAAAGCCTAAAGCTTCTTCAATTTGTGAAAAACTTGGTTTAACTTGTCTTTTAAGTAAAGCTTCATAAGATTTTTTTTTTAGAGCCAACCATTTTTTACTGTTTTTTAAAATATTACATATCATCCCTTCTAAAATATTAAATTCTTTAACAAGTTCTTTATTTTTAGGTGTTAGTTTTTGCAACTTCTTTAAGCAAACTTCCTATTTTTGAGCATCTATAAGAGAATCTCTAGTTTGTTTACCTTCAGAAATTCTTTTTTTATTATTAAAAGTATTTTTTTTTCTTTTTTCTTTGGATATTTATAAAATTTTATAATGTAAAATTTTCATTAATAGCAATTCAAAAAAGATTTACTATATCCCTTAAATCCAATATAAAAATTCGTTATAAATAAATTCATTGATTATGATGTAAAAATTCGTTAAAAATAAATTCGTTAACATGGGTAAAAATTTAGTATAAAGGAAATTCATTAATAAAAGCCTTATTTTATTATAGATATACAGGATCTTCACTTCGTTATACGTAATAGTAAAATTTATTATAAAAATTCGTCATACTTAACTATTTTGGTTAATGAAATTTTGGGGCAATTCATGTGATTCACAATAATGAGAAATTCGTAATACAGAATAAAATAAGCATAACTAATCATTTAAGAACAAAACACTGAAAAATTGAAGGAAAAGCTAAATAATCAGAAATTATTTTATTAGATTCGAAAAGTAATATTGAGAATCAAGGATTACAAATGAGCAAATTTGTTAGTATTAGAAAAAATTGGATGAATTTCTAGAAAATACTATGAATACTTTTTTTTTTTACAACTGATTTATAGATTCAGAATTATTGTAATAGTTTCTTCAGGCATATTTCTTAATAATTAGTGATTTATATTAATTTTATTCTATTTATACATTTTTATCAAGTTTATACTATACTAGAAACAAATTTATTTTTTGTGTTCATCCTTACGTTCTTGTTGATGTTCAATATATTATCTTCAAAAATATTTAAATTTCCCGTTATATTAGAATATAAGCTTCACTGCCAATAAGCTGGCTGTATTATTAAAAGAACATAAGCATCTCGAGCAGTTAGTGTCTGAAAAGTATGTACATAAAAGATAATATATTATAACGGTCCTTAACCAGTCCTTACAATTTAAGAGATTACTAACTCTAGAAAGTCTAATCATTTATCTATAATAAGTAACCCCATCAAAAAAATATCATAAAAATTTATTAAAAAAGTGAAAATGATATTTAAAATTGGCAATTTTGATGGGATCGCTAAGTATAGGACTGGTCCTAGAGACCCAATCCTAAATCCTAAAATTTAAATTTTAAAGAAATTAGATTCCAATTAGAAGGTACTTGTTTAAGGAGATCCAATGATTTCTGCATATAAGTCAATGATCTCTTCACGAATTTACTTTATCTGTGTATTCATCACGTTTAAAAATATATATCTGGACGCAGTATATTATACAATAAAATGATCTCGTCATTCGTGATCATAGGCGTGATATCTCTTCAACTTTTTCAAGAACAGACCTCTCTGTCCTTTATTCTCAACAAACGATGTTTGTCAAATCATACGAAAGTTATAATAGTAAGTCTATAGCTGGCAATTATTTAACCAGTTTCTAATTTAACTTTCTAGCTCTTGTCACTTATTTACGAGACTGAAATGATAAATCGTATCGTGGTTTTTTGAATTTAAATCAGAATATTATAATTTTCTCGTTAACAAAGATTTATGATTGGATCTCGACAACACTTGGGTCACAAATTTTATAAGCTGAACTTGGGTCAGAAGAATCTCAAGTTATTAAAGCAAAGGTGCATTTTTTTTATATTTTGCAAAGAGAGGATAACTCTTAGTCAAACTGCAACACAAGCATTGACTCACAAGAATTACTGAGTTTTGATATTTGTACCCACTTCAGGTGTTCTTAATTCAGGTGTCCTAACTTTATTGTTGATAAATATCTGTTGGTTTTGGAGGAAAAATCAGCTATGTACTCACTACAGGTAGAATCAGAGCAGCGTGGAAACGGCTTACGAATGTACTAGAAAAAAGGTAATAGAAAAATATATAAGGGTAAGATATAATAATGCAATGATACGATGTTTGTTTAGTCAAACCTATAATCAAGAAGTTTAACTTACATCAAAAACCTATAGCGAGCATGACTAAAGATAAAATAATCTTCCATAATACTCCTGAAAAAATACCGGAAGTGATTGATATCCAAGTATCAGTTCTTTGTGGTATTTGTTGGAATGAAATTAACCCAGAAATTTCAGAACCGATCATTATATTAATTTGCAGATACATATGCTACCATAATTGTCTTGAACGAGAAGAGTACAACATTTATTCAACACAATTACAACCACCATATTTTATATCGGAAGGTGTAAGATTATCAATTGATCATAACTGGTTCATTTCAACAGGATCCTACGTAGCTTCATGTTACATATGTAATTATTTTGGACATGGAGCTAATAATTGCCCAAATATTAACGAATATATTGCAAAGTATGTCAGTACAAAAAAGTGGGACCATGAGCAAAACAGTTATAAGACTTTTATTCATTTAACTTATTTGTATCAAACGATGGATTCAATAGCGGAGAAGATTATTAGAGTTGAATAACAATGCACCATCTGGTTCCAATTTTGGATCCACTAGTATTTGCTTTTTTCTAGACTTTTGTATAATTGCAAAGGCCAATCAGCATTGACTCAATTATTGAGCGGGTGGTTGATGATTCTGATATTTGCAACGAAATCACAAAAGAATTACATGAAGACGATACCCTGTCTAATCCACCGTTTCCTATCATTGAAGAGTCTTCTAGCAGATTTGTTGAAGATATTATTTTCAATGAAGAAAAAAACTCATGGTCGAGTCACTATTACATTCTTGGGTAATAGATTTAGGTGACTTGGAGATGAGGAATTGTTCACCACAGCGTCCATCTCTGATTCTAGTTTTAAACAATTAGAACTCGAGTAAATATTCCTAACTATACTGTTTAGACGATGATTCATCACGTGATCAAAGATTTACAATTATGGTTAAACTATTTAAAATCAAAGGTCACTCTGAAGATTTTTTACAATGATAAAGCAGATATTCTAGCTAAAGCAGGAATCAAGTTCCGTGTTCTAACACGAATCACGTTTCCGGTTCTCATTTAAACCAGCTAGGCTCAATCCGTTCTCGTCGCCCTCATCGTCGACGTTACGTTCGCGATAGCAGTGTTGTCATGGGGCAGGGACAGGGATA